AGGTAAATAGCCTTAAATCGGAAGGGAGCTGCTTCTCTGTGGTCTTCCACAAGAGCTGCCTGGGCTCTGCTGGCTCAGTAATAACTGAGTGACCTTTTCTTTTGCTGTATTATGTCTGGCTGGTAAGGGATTGCATTTTGCAGCTGATAAAGCCCTGACTTCATTCAACTCGGCTCCTCACACGCTGCTTTAGGTAAGTTGTCTTCAGCCAGGACGGAGACAGACAGCCTTGGACTGCAAGATACTAAAAGGAGGACACCTGTAGCTCGGATGCGGTCAACACAATTACTTGGCGGATCCTTGAGGACCTCATTATTTTAAACTTAAAGAATAGCGATCTCCCTCCCCATCTCTCCCACCCCCTCTTTATTTTTTTCCCCAAACAATGCTTCTTTTTGACCTTTTCCAAGGAGAAGAGCTACAAAGCAGCCACTGTGCTTATTGAACTGCCTCCCCTGTATCGCTTAATTGAGAAGGTAAGTGAGGCAACTGTGTACATAAGCTTTGGGTCATTTGTGTATGTGTGTCTGCATCACTCTCTCTCCCTCTCTCTCTGAGTCATAAGCCGGGGCTGCAATACACACACACATCTCTGCACTGCAACTTTCACTCAAGCTGCAGCTCTGCTGAGACTGTTTTGTTTAAATCATGTGAGGCTTCATTATTTTTATGATGAGACATGAAATACATGCAAGCGGAGGATGCTGAGCGAAACCCATCCGGCTGTATGTCTCGAGAAATAGCAGTCAAAGTTAACAATGAATTGCAGCCCCACCACCACCCCCCTCCCCGTTATTATTGTTATTATTATTCTTGCTTCTTCCAGAGCTTCTCGAAACGTGCTCTCAATTATCAAGGGAGTCGGTTAATTTCCCACTCCCCGGCTTTAATCCACAAGCCTCCCCGTACAGCAGTTTAATTTGCAACTGGTTCGGTGCAGGGTTAACCCTTTGGGCAGAGCGGAGGCAGTAGCGGGGCGGGGAGCCCCGGGGGGCGCAGAGCGGGCCGGGGGCGGTGAGGACGCGCTCCGGCCGCGGGGTCCGTGCTCACGCATCCTCCGCCTCCCAGACTGGCGGGAGGGAAGGGCAGCCAGGCTGGCGTTATGAAGCAGCACTTCTGTCTGCGAGTATTCCTCTTTTCTTCCTCTTTTTTACCCACCCCCGCCCCCGACCGACCGCGATACGGTATGCGAACGCCGCATGTGACAGTTTAATCAAACCCATTTGTTACAACAAAGCTAAGAGACCGCTGGGATTATAGGCTTACGGGCAGAGTTAGGGGAGCATGTGGCTTTGTCGCTCGCCATCGCCGTGCGGGGCCGGCGGCTCCGGGTGTGCCGTGTCCCCCCCCCCCCCCGCCCCATTCCATCCCCATCCCCGCCGCCCCCCGCCCCCGCTGCGGCGCCGCCGCGCTCCCGCTCACTTGACCCGAGCCGAGGAAGCACTTGCTACTTTTGCCGGGATTTGGTGCTTCAATGAGAAGGAGCTCTCCAGGCGCCCGTAAATCAACTCATGCAGAAAAAGGAGAAAAGTTTTGGTAAGGCGGCGGTCCCCGGCGCTGGCGCGCAGCGAGCGCAGCGGGTGCGCTCCCGGGGGGAGGCGGGGGGTCCTCCTTCCGTTTCCATCCTCAATGCGCTGCCGTAGCGAGCGGCTGTGTCGGCGTGTGCTCTGAAGAGACCCAAAATACCGCTTCCTAGGACAGCTCTGTAGGACCGCTCTTTAAACCAATTCGTTTTGCTCGGTGCAACAAACATCGGGACGCGCTTTCCCCGACACCTCCCTCTCCCCATCCTTGTGATGCTCGGAAAGGAATTGGCATAAAAGGCTTGAGCGTCCAACTCCTAAAAGGGATTCTTTGTTGTGGAGTGTATGTTTCTTATTTATTTTTTTATTTTGCATGTGAGCTGCATCAAAATTGAACTCAGTCTTGCAAATCTCTTGTTGGCCTTTGCCAAGCACTAGCACTTTGCTGCCATGGTAACTGTAATTAAACTGATAAGAGTGGAAAAATGTCAGTATCTCTGAGCCTTGCAGCTGCATTGGAGAAAAAGGGAATCAAATTGGTTCCCAGCACCACTGCTCTAAAAAAAGGAGGAGGAGAGTGATGGGGGGGGCCTGGGGGAGAGAGACGGGGGGACACGCCAGGGGTAGGAACATAGCTAAGCAGCTCCGGTCCCTGAGATCTGGGTACATCTATTTGCTGTGCTGTCCCTTAGGGGGCTACAGCCTGCAGGGATGCTCTGGGCCAGTGAACAGAGAGAAACAAGCTTTTAGGCCCAATCTAGCTTTCAAAAAGAGAAGGGGAAAGAAGAAGAGAAATCTTTTGTTTGGTGTCTCTTGGCAATCGACTAGCCATGTTGGCCAAATTCTTTTAATCTGTATCACTGCTCCCAGCTGTGGGACTGCATTCCCATTTTTATTTTTTGCCTAACCTCTTCGCTTTTCTTTTTCCATCTCCCCCTTCCCAATCCATGTCCTTTATTTAAAAAATACTAATAAAAAAAAATTAAAGAAAAAAGCAGATTCATCTGTAGAAGGGGCAGGAGGGGAAGTTTAGTTATATATCATGGGAAATTAACTCAAAAGTATACAGAAGAGACTACATTCAAAGTACCAAAACCCTTACTTTTATTTTTTTAAAAAAACCCCGAGTGTTATGGAGTTGCGGTTACTTTGTTGTGTTAACTACAGAAGCTGAGACTGTGCGGATGAATGGCACAGAACAAGAGAGCATAATGGAGGCAATCAACCGTTAGGCTGGTTCACAATGCAATCCAGGCAATTAAAAGCTCACCAGAGTTTAAATGAAATGGTTCCACTTATTTCTGTGCACCACACTGCACAGGCTATTATTTATGTCTCTTTTTTTAATTATGATTTCCCTTAAACTGTCAAATAACTCAGAATAGCAGGGTCTCGGAGGCAATAAGAATTTTCCACAGAACAATTTACATGCCAATCTAAAACTAGTTACGACTCCTGATGTGCTACATGCGAGTTCTGAAATGTTTCTTAGCTTCTGAAACCTTTACTTTTTTTTCTTTTGAGGCTGTGTGTGTATTGTCCTAAATTATTGGCACTCTGAATGCTTGTAGAATAAAGCTACAAAGTAGGAAAGCATCAGAAAAGTATTCTTTTTATCTTCTACTAGACCTCTAACTCTCTCCTTGACTGCATGTTTTCTGTCAGTTTGCTGCCTTCTAAAGACTAATGCAACAATACTTAATTTGCTGCAAACTGATTTTATTATTTTTCGAAGTAGAGGCAAGTTTTCCCTTTCTTGCTGCACGTACTACTGTCTTTGGTAGAACTGTATGCATGCCTCCGAAAACGGGGGGAAGAGTGATCTTTAAAAGTTTGTAAGTGATCCAGTGCATAATGATATCTAATTCTTCCTCCCAAAACCCATCTGTATCACAAACCAGAAACCGAGTTCTGTTTGTCTTTTGCCACACTCAGCACCATCAGGGACTAATCCTGCTTACAGATGCTTCTAAATCACTAACAAAATCCAATTCATTATGTCAAATCTTCACTCCCTTTCATTTTTGAGAAGGGTGATAATTTGAGTGAAATGGATTTTTACTTCTCTGCCTTTCTTCAGGAGCCTAATTTAGCTTTTTCCAGTAGCCTTTCCTCTTTATTATGAAATCATACTTACGAATCAACTGACAGTATTTCAACATACGATAATAACAATAAACAGGGATGGGAGTCCATTGCATTGAACTTATTTGAGGAGATCGAAAGAAATCCTGAAAACCTGCAAGTTGGGTTGTTAAGTTCTCCCTTCAAAAATCCTAAAGGTGGTGGATAGTGATGAAGTCTTATTCCTGACACAGCTCTGCAGTTTATGTGCAGTATCTTGGGGACTGGGGGTGGAGGAAGAGAGGGAATGGAGGGAAGGATAGAGGAAGCCCTTGAAAGCATATTGGGGTGAAATAAAAAGGGTTTGTTTGACAGTGACAGACTAGGCACTGAAATTTCTCTGTTCTGAGAACAGATCTGCTCTGTGATGCAGAGCATCGGTAGGACTCTGCAGAATTGAAGGAAAAGCTGGGTTTGATTTTTCCTTTTTTTTTTTTTTTTTTTTTTTTTTTTTACAGCCTGGGTGTAACACTTAGGGAATTGTGTGATGTCTTGAAAGTGCTCCATAAGCTCTGCTTTCCTGGGGGTGGGAGAGAGGAGGGCAGGCAGGCAGCAGTGCTGTGTACTGCTACCTGATATTTCAGCGGGGAGCAGTTTAGGTGGTTTTGTGGGTACTGTCAGCCTCTGAAAGGGTCCTTCCCGTGTCCTAAGAAATAAATGAGTTCTTAAACCGCAGTCTGTGAAAAGCTGGCTGACAGTAAGCTGCAGGTATTCTTATTGCCAAATTAAGAGAGAGCTAAAAATACACGACTGCATATCCGAAAAGTGCAACTGCATTGGAGATCTTATGGGAATGTTAAAGGGAAGAAAGATGGTCTGTGAGGTGATCTGTTCATATAATACAGAAAATATGTAACAAAATGTTCTGTTATCAAAATTAAGTGATTTAAACAGGGCATGTGAAGAAAAAGACTTTTGTAAATTTGGAGATATGTCAAGCACTTCAAGGTTCATTTTGTTTAGAACCTTTCTACACTTCAAAAAAAGAGTAACTTTTTATGATGAAGCAGTAGTTCGGGGATTTACTTTTTTTTAACTTTCATTAAAATAGAAGCAGCTTCATTGCAAGTAAAGTGCAAAAAGATCAGATCTATCAGAGGAGAAAAGCATTCCTTCCCTCCAAAAGCTGCTGCAGATTGAATCCCTAATCTGAAGATGCTGCCAGTAGGATGTCAGCACCACCTTCTCTCTCTGCCTCAGGAAAATAGACATACGGAGTTGCAAACATTACTTCCATGGGGTGTCTGCCCCTTTCCACTTGTCTCTACAAGAAAGTTTAGGGCTGACCAACATGAATGACAAGGCTCTGTCTACTTTCCTCATGTAGCAAATATCTCAAAAGCTGTGCAGGGTATGTGCAAACTGCAGTTTTATTTGTAATACAATAACCTCATGTTTGCAGCAATATACCTTGGGAATTATCAGGCTTGATTACTGCAATCTGCTCAGATATTCACTTGTTTGGCTGTGTTTCTGTGGCGTCTCGTTCCCTTCAGACAGTGCAGGACAGTAGATCAGCCTGGATCAGAGACTGTCAGCCTCCACTCTCTAACCCGCTTCCTTATCAGGCAACAAAATTTTTACATTAAGATTTTTTTTGTTAAAGCCTTTAACTGTGTTAGCTCCTAGTTTATTCTGGTTTCCCTCGAGCCAAAGATTAAAGTCCTAGAACAGCCCTTCATTCTTCTGAACTTTTTTACAGAGTTCCAAGAAGTTTATACAAATTGTGGCCGATTTTATGCATTTGTCCTTTACATGGCCAAAGAGAGGGGCTGAGGATAAGCTTGTTGTTGTGGATATGTACTACTGTGACAAGCAACACTACAGATTAAGGCTTTTCGACCAGATGATGATATTAGAGTTTCTACAGGATTTCTCTTTACAGTCTGGTATAGGTTCCATACCAAAAATCTGATGTTTTCACTGTTTTTAGTCATTTGTAGTCATGCTATTTTGTTGCTGTGTGTATGTACCCTGGATTATGAGAAGTCAGCTGTCAGTTGAAAATACAGTAAAGGCTCACCCTTTGTTTCATGGTGCTTTCTCAAGAGGAGATGTGTGTATTCCTTCTCAGATTTGCCACAGACTCTCTGTGGAGTCCCATGCAGGTCGCTGGATCTCATGCCCTCCCACACCCTTGCGAGTGAGAAATAGATTTTGGGAGTCTGTAACTGGTGTAGGAGCTATGACAGCAGAATCAACTGGGAAGTAATGGGAAGACAGCAGTGACCACTTTTATGCTTCTTGATAGAAGAATACAGACAGACCTTGCACTTTAGTCTCGAGCTTTAGACGTTATGCAGCAGTACTGCCACAGTGCTTCGAGTGCCCACTCGCAGAACTGTCTGACACAACTGAACAGCGAATTCAGCAGATCAAGGTGTCGCTCCAAGATGTGCAATAGATGGTACTGCAAAGAGGGGAGCGAGGCTGCTGTGCTCGCGTGTTGCAGTAAGAATCACTGGGTTTAATTCAGTGATCAGCTTTGCAGGTAGAACTTAGGAGTTCAGCTTGGGAACACTGGAAAGTCACTTAACTGGCTCTAGAGTCGCTGTGGTCCATGTACATTCCATGTGTTCTGTGCACACCTGTAGAGATCCCTGGAATGCCTCAGCTGGCACAGCATTTAACCTCTCGTCTTTGTAACGTTAATATCCATAAAGGCACACTCTACCATTGCCATAAAGATTACACTGGCTTTCGTGTTTTTTTCCTAGGAGAGCTTTTAAAAAAGCAAACAAACAAAAAAACCAAACCCCAAGTTGTTCGTGTTCTAGGTCCCTGAGCCTGCATGTTTCTTTCTGTAGACCATCTTTCTGTAGTGGTGTGTTACAGCACCAGCCAAGATCTGCTGGTAGAAGCTGGGATTGTGAAGCTTTCTTAACAGTAGGTAGTAGAATGTTCTTGATGAGGAGCTCTTGAAATTGAGATGTTATGAGACTTTATTTGACTTTTCCCAATCTCTACATGATAACAGGGCTGAATATCCTGAATGATGGAGTAGGATTTGATTATTGGCAACAGCATTTGTTCCCCAGTCTTGACAAATTCTCATTGTAATATTCAGATACGTTCTAATGAACAATATCTTTTTTTCGTTACATCTCTGGCTTTAAAATAGTGAGATAACCTAGCAGTCAAACAGCTTGTCGTTCTTCCCTTCTCTCAGGTGCCTGTTTGGTGTCCAATAAAATATCCACAGGGCTTTGATTTTGCTTATTCTAAGAAGTAACTTTCAGAGAATTGCTCTGAGTGCAATGGGATGGCAGTTTATGCAACTAACCGGGAAAGACCAGTCTGTAAGCACTTTAGGGCAGTGACCTCTCCCCATTTGCTGTAAAACTGAGGGCGATTGATTTTTGAATAGATCCCTGGAACTGGCTGTGTTGCTTGGAGTAACATCGCTCAGCTGTGTTCCACTTTTACCAGTTCTGTCTGTTAAACGGTGTTTCAGGTGTTTGAACTGTTTTTTAAATTCTCTCTGCTATTACATCAAAAGATGCATATTTACTTAATGGACACTATTGTACTCCATGTCCCAAACCAGTTGCTGGCTAAAATTGAGATTGTTAAGTGGGACAGTGTTATTTTTTTTTTGGTTCAGTTTTTGGTTTGATTGGTTTTTTTTTGTTCTTTCACTTGTTTGGGTTTTTTTGGTTTTTTGGTTTTATTGGTTTTTTAATTATTACTATTTTTAAATGTTTTTTCTTGACAAACTATAAACTCTCTGACTTCATGAAGATTATTTAAAATCAGAATTTTCAGAAGGTCTTTACACTACAAGTTGTAAATACGATGCTGCTGCTGGAAATCTCATCCCTTTCACTAATGTGTTTATTAAGAGTTGAAATCTTAAAAAAAATAAAACATCCGCCCACCAGCATCAAAATTTCTATGTCAAATGTCGCCAAAACTCTGTCCCCGTGCCTCTAAAAGCTTTTCTTCTTTGGAATCTGGAGTGCTTTTATATTTATAGAGATAGTGAAAATAAGTCCAAATATGTGGATTTAGCTGTGTTTGCCATCATAGATATGCTGTTTATTTAAATTTTGTGTTGCTACATATTGGATACTTTGGCTGAAAGTGGATGACTTTTCAACTGAACTTTTTTAATATTTCATTTTAATTTTTTTAATCTTTTTTCTTTTCAGCAAAGAGACCAGGTAAATGAGGTGTTAATGAGAAGCTGTGAAACTTAGAGTAATGGAAGTTTCTGCTGTAAATTTATCTTAGCATTGTTTTCAGCGTTCTGCGGACTATCTAAGTTATTTTATCCTATCTATACCGTTGCCTTTTAAATGAACTGGGTGTAGGGGGAGCAGAGAGATGGAGGAAGAAAAGGGCAAGAGTTTTTCTACTTCGGAGAATATCTATTTTCACTCTTGTCTTATTGTGTTTCAGGTATACAAATGCTCTCAGTCCAGCCAGACACCAAGCCGAAAGGTTGTGCTGGCTGCAACCGTAAGATTAAAGACCGATATCTGCTAAAGGCCCTGGACAAATATTGGCATGAGGACTGCCTGAAATGTGCCTGCTGTGACTGTCGCCTGGGGGAGGTGGGCTCTACCTTGTACACCAAAGCCAACCTTATCCTTTGTCGCAGAGACTATCTGAGGTAGGTCACGTCCTCCTTCCGTTCACCAGCAAACTTGGGAAATCTGTTCGGTCCTTCCTACGTAGCTGCTATCACACATAAGCAGAGCTCGAGGGCTGAGAGTCTTGAGTATGTGTGGAGGATGAGGAAACAAATACTGAAATATGGAGGCAAAACTAAAATCTGAATCAGAAAGCACATGTAACTAGGTTGTGCCAGTGGCTTCCAGGTTTCTGATGCCAATACTGGTGTCCTGCGCTCTCATGCAGAAGAGAGTAAATCCCTCCATGATTCCCACAGCACTGTGCTCCTGGGGAGACGGTGGTCTCCTCCTCCTCCTCCTCCTCCTAGCAGCATGGTGGTGGCCAGGTATGTCGGTCTGAAACCACATGTGTGGTTTTTACCCAGCTTCAGTGCAGGGTTTAAACTCTGTCAGTGAGGAGTGTTTCACCCATCTTCGCTTTGTTTGCAAAGGGTTTTCATTTGTGACTCTCCAACTTTTATGAATGTTGCCATTCAGCTGTTAGCAGCTGGACCAAGATGACCAGCCATCTTCCCCATGCTCAAAAATCATGTGTCTAGCAAGCTCCAATCCACTCCGCTCATTTAACTTAACTTGGTGTCCTGGGTGGGATGCTGGCTAACCTGTTGCCACTTGTTAGAGACAGCAGATTGTCACCTGATTTTCTGTCATCGTTTTTGCTTGTGGACCTACATCCTCCAAAGTATTTGAGGAATAACTCGTAGTGAAGTACAGATGAGCAGCACCAGGTTAGTTTATCTGCAGATCATATGTCAGTAAATAGGGCTACTTTGCAGGAGCCAAGTTTAATCAGCAAGTTTAGTCTCCGTGGGCTCTTAATAGTAAATAGAGAGAAAAGGCTCCTCTGGGGTGATTCCGAGCACCTATTTCCCATAGTAGTACCTTTCCTCCATTCCCTGTAGAAGGGGACTAATGAGACTAGCTGCTCCAGGCTAAGATGAACTTCTGGGAATATTTCCCCTGCCCCTTTAGAGAAACCTTTTCCTTTTAAAGGGACATTGAAGTCAGTAATACATTGGGGAAAAATTAAAATTCTTTTTGAACGTGTTAACTTACAAGTTCAGCTTAAGTAAAGGTACCAAATAGGAGGTTCCCACACACTGATCAGCTCCCAAATTGTCCAGCGTGGGTAGGTTGGAACAGGAATCAAGACTAAAGCATTAACTATTGGTACTCTGGTTGTCCACGTAACAACCTCTTTTTTTCTAGAGTGGAACAAAAACCTTCACAAACATGCTGTGCGTTTGTTGAGCTGGGGCTGCAAGGCAGATCAGCTTCTTCAGACATGGGCTTAGACTGCTTAGTGGTAAAAGTACTCTGCTACCTCTTAAGGCTCTGAACTGAACCTACGAAAGAGTGCTGGGAATTTAGCATAGAGTGTGCACCTTAAAGCCATTGTATTAAAGCTGCCAAAGTAGTAGGTAATAAACCCCCACTTTTAAAAACTGTTGGAACAGAAGGGAATTGTTATGGGTGAACCCCGGTCCCTTGTGATCTTAAAGTGAATGTGTACAGAGAAGGGTTTGAACAGTTTTCTGGGGCAGGGGGGAAGTAGCATCCCAATTTTTAAAACTCATTTTAAGAATCCTTATACAACAAATGCCTGCAGGAACAAGAAAACTCTGCTCTGGCTGTTTGATCTGAGTTCCAAATTTACTGGAGACTTTGAACTTACTGAATCTCCCAAGTGCTAGTGCAGCTGATCCAATGTTTTAAAATCAAATGTTTAAAATCAAAACCAAAAGTTATTTAGTAGTAGAGATATAAGCAAAGCATTTCCCCAACACAGATACACACACTGTTGGTCTCTGGTCTTTGAAGATTTAACAGGAGTAAATATTTTGCAAATAGATTGTTAAAATTCATACTAAGCAATTCAGGGAAAGGAGACTGTATTTTTTTATCTGTCATGACCACATTCAAGATGGGTGTTTCAGTCATTTCTTCATAAACACCTTTTACTTTTGTATCAGTGAAACCAGGATACATGAGAAATACTGTAATCGGTTTTAAGATGTTTCTGGGTTTTGTCTCTTGATTTGTCAAGTCTTGATGAAGCAATTTTGTCACCAGTTGTTTTTTTTTTTTTCCTTTAGTCATACTTTTGAATGCACTGATTTAAACTAGGTATTTACACTAAACTTCAAACTGATGCACTTAAGGTAATTGCAGATAGTCACTTACCTCATTGCATCTTACCTACTTAGTTATGTAGTGAACCTATAAAAGTGATCTTTTTAATGCTAACACAGAAACTAGTTAAATATTCTCTAGCTTTGTAGTCGAATAAGCTTTCATATTTAGCAACACATTTGGTATAAATTTAAGGAACAAATTGCATTGTACTAATGATCAGATTAGGGTATAATTATGGTTTCATATACTGTCCTCTTAGTTTTTTGGTTTTATCTTTGTAACCATAAAGGGAATCTTTGCTACGTATAAAAGAGTTCTGGCTTCCTATTAATTTATGTGGTGCCCTCTAGAGGATATGGGGCTTGAACAATACTATAAAGAGTAAAATTGCTTATTAACTTGTCTCTCAGTGTTCATTATGCCTTTCAATAAGAGAGCCATTCTACAGATGCTACAAACAATAATGTAGCCAGTTTGGGTGCTTTAGCATTCATGTTTAAATTCATAAACTGTGTGATTGTGTCTTTGCCTGCTTGCAAAAATACTTCCAGTATCTTTCATTTAGAGATGCCTGCCAAAAAAACCAAACCCTCCCTCAGCCCTGATGCACGCACTTGTGCTGCAGTTGAGCCCTGAGGTACCCACTTTGAGCTTCTTATAAATACTCTGTATCTTCAGAACTTCAAAACTCGTTTTGCTTTAACTCTCTCCTTTGGTAAAATTAGTTAATTATACTACATTAAAACCTTTTTCTCTGGATTGGGAGGGATTGAGGGGATGGAAGGAATCTTTAATGAGGTAACGAGCGTGGAAGATGCTTTGGGTGTGAGAGGCTTTACCCTGGAATCTGTTTCATGTAAGGCACTCCAGTGGTTTCAGTGGTGGCGTATGACGCCAAGGGTATTAGGGTGGCCGCAGCAGAAATGAGCTCCATTTTGTTAACGAGGATGAGAACTGACTTGAGTAAAGAAAGGGCTCAATGTTAGAAATAACACACTCGGTGAAAATGATATGCAGAGTATAATTCCCCTGCAGGCTTCTGTCTTCTGCTTATACACTCTTGGGTTAGAAAGTGAGGACTTAATTTAAGGAACTTAGGTTTACGCCAATATTTCAAGTCCATTTACAGTAAGTGAAATATGCAAGAACTTTTTTTCCCCTTTTTCCCTCCAGAGCTGTATGGTGACATCTTAATGTATCAGCCTATCCTGCTCAGTCCTCTCTTCTGACTGGCAGCGTGTCCATTTACAAGCACAATATTCCCTTTGAAATCTGTCATTACTGCCATTAATGACCAGTCATTATGTTAACAGCCCTTGGGCTGTTAACATGTCAAACTGGTTGTTAACTGGAATGTTATTACTTATTTAAACCGCAGGTATGAGTTGTGTGAAATGTGCTTTGGTTGCGCACTCTGGGGCTGCTTCTGCTCAAAACAATAGGGAAACAGTGGAGCATTTGCCTTTGGGGTGCCAAGGGATTTGCTTTCTCTTCCATCTGCTCATTTAATTTCTGCATATTTGTGAGGTCCTCCTACCCCTGGGCAGCCTCCTAATTTCAGGTGCAACTGTGTGCAGTCCTGCCTCAGCCTTGCCCGCACATGGGCAGCCACGGATGTCTCCAGATGCACGGCAGTGCCTGCTGCACGTTTGAGATTAATATCTGGCCCCTGGAAGTGTAAAATGAAAGACCGACAATTACACGTAACTCAGTTGTATTAAATAATGAGCTTCCTCGGATGCAGCAAAAATATGAAAGTACAGCTGTGCTAAGCTAGTTGCAATGTAGGTCAATCACCCTTTTCACTTAGGTTTTTAACTACGCAAACCCCGCTGAGCGACCAATGACTACAAAGTGCTGTTTCATTCCTATTTAATTTTGGCAGCATTTTACTGAAGAGCAGGCATTCATGCAGCTAAATTATCTTCGCCGTTTCTGGTTTTAACTCCAGCTCCATGACACTAAATGTTGGAGTGCATATCTCTTAGTAAACACAAAGAATATGGCTTCTGATTTTTTTTCTTTTTCCAAATCCATCTCTTAACATGGAAATTGAATTAGAACTTTTATTACTTTTTGCATAATTTCCCTAGCCAGGCACACGAGATCATAGGTAAAGGATTAACAAAACTAATATATTGGGGTGGAATTTTTGCCCTTAAACACATCTATACCCTTATTGAGGATGGGGAGGATGATGACACAAAAGGTTGCCCCCCTACCCCCCGACCTTGGTATTGATTTTGTTTGTAAATATACTGCAGACTTTAAACCTACAGCTGAATAACTATGAAAATGAGGAGATTAGTATTCCTGAAAAAAGGGACAGATCATATTGGTGTTTGTTTTTTTTTTCTCTTCCCCACTTGCTGATGAGGATGCTTGAAAGATCTGAGAAAAACCAAGTTTTTAAAACTGGATATTGAATGAGATTTTGTAAATGATAAGACGTGACTCCAGAAAGTTAAGCGTTCGACCATAAGTATTATAAAGATGCTGTCTCTGTAAAATATTTAGTTTCTGAAAGGCTAAACTGAAAAGGGTAGAGTTTAGGACACAGCTTTTTCCTGTACAACTGCTTACTCTCTAGAGGCAATTATTATTTTAAAAAATTATTGTGTAGGAGTACTTGGAGAGACTTAAAATGTCTTGTGGCCTGGTGCCGATTAGGAGATCCCATTCCTCTCTCACATCACCAGGAAGTATCGCAAACACCTCAGATATCGGCTTTATTAAATGTACCTATAAGTACTCTATATGGGTATTTTCATAGGTAGTGGGTTACAAAGTGTTTTCAAAATGCCACTTCAGCATGCTTCTTCCCCAGCTTAATTAAATAAGG